ACAAGACATACAAAAACCAAGTTACTGATAACTATCGAATGTGTTGAGTTGATTGCATGTCTTGGCGCGGGGGAGTATTCGCAAATGTTGAGACCAACGAGTGGCTTGGTCTGCCATTGTTAGTTCATGGCGACGAGACTGGACCTTAACATGGAGCGATGTTTTGTATTCTGTGGTTATTATTCTCTTGGTTTTTCATTTATCTTACCTTTTTGTGTTGCGGCACAATAGCCGGCGTGTTCTCACCTTTAGCTAACATGTAATGATGATGATCCTGCGCAGGCAACACAATTATCTTCTTGTCAAACAATTTCTTAATGATCTGGCGGTCGAAGAGGGTAACTCCCGGCGCTGACGTGTTCCTGATGAGAGCGAACACAACGTTACTCGCAGCGATCTGTAAGCAAAATTGATGCTAGCCTGGAAAGAGACCGCGAAGACTGATGATCTCATCGTACATCGCAGATGGAAATAGCCGCTGCCTTTGGTAACGATCGAAAGTTGTTCCGTCTTATACGGGAAGCGGGCGGAGCGAGACTTGATGTTAGCAAGACTATATGATACGAGATTGAATCATCTGTCCACAAATTGTACAAACGCTTAGAACGTTCCACTGAGCGTTTTGAGAAGCAATTTAATCGACTTAAACCAGCAGCTGCGCTGTCGGCCAGTGATCGCTCTGTTTTCTGGGCTGTCTCTTTGGAAAAATGTGACTTGGCGCCCACCAGCCTTGGACGCAAATAGATCACATTGCAATCAGTTACCGCGGCAGAGGCTGCATCCAAAACTGTCGCTCGCTTTGGACCACATGTCTGGATATCGACCATGCACTTGTATTTGCTAACATGCAGATGCGTCTCGGCGGACGTCCATGACGACGTTGTCAGCGCATTGACACCAGCCAACTGGCGAAACCAGCTGTTCTGAATGCCTATCAAAGTACGTTGACATGCGAGTTGAGTAAGCGTTCACTGGAGACAATTTAAGGTCACTGGTCGCATGTTTACCAAACCTTACTAGCAGTAGGCAAATCCTCATGTGGTAAGTCTAATAGGCAACATGGACATTGGGTCTCTTCGCGGTTTCTGGAACTTATCGATGCTCGCCGGCATATTCCGGCTGGAAGCGAACACACTGAAACTCGCAAAGAGCTCCGGACAAGACTCCATTCTAGCCTGAAGAAAGACCGCAAATCTTGGTAGTCTCATCGTGCGTCAGAGATGGAAGTGGCCGCTGACCTTGGCAACCATCGTAAGTTATACCGTATGATACGGGAAACGGGCAGCAGGAGACGTGGTGTTAGTGAAACTATACGTGACGAGCGTGGACAGCCTATGCACAATTTGTCAAACCGTTTGGAGCGTTGGGCTGAACATTTTGAAAAGCAATTGAACCGGCCGTAATTGTTAGTTTCCTCGCCGGCCAGTGATCGCCGTGCTCTTTGGTCTGTCGCTTTGGATCCGCCCTCGCTCAGAAGTCGAACGTGAGATCGGACTGTTGAAGTTAAACGAAGCCACTGGACTAGATGATCTTCATCCAGCCCTCTTCAAATTAGAGGGACCTCTTGTTAATGGTTTACACGAATTACTAGTGGAACTGTGGGAGCAGGAAACTGTCTCAACCGACTGGAGCCGCTCCGTTACTGTTCCCATCTTCAAAGGAGACCAGCGCTCGGAATTCGGCAGCCACGAGGGAATCAGTCTGATCCCCATCGCCTCCAAATTACTTGCCTCCGCAATCCTTCACAGGCTGGCTGGCGCTCATGAAAGCCAGATTCGTGAGGATCAGGTTGGGTTTCGTCGGGGTCATAGGTGCATCGACCACATCTTCACTTTGCGTCAGTTGTTAGAGCACCGTCACATATTGGCGGCCCACCGTTGTCATGTTCCTCAACATGAAAGGTACGTTCGATTCGGTTGATCGATGTGCCCTTTGGAATTGTCTACTCAGGAAAGGTGTGCCCGAGAAATATGTAAATCTTAAGAGAGCAAGAACGAGCAGCACTTATGCGGGATAACCTGAATTCAGATTATTTCGCGTCTTCTCATTCAGCCACTTACGGACAAATCGTGGAAAGAGTAAAGGAATGCAATTGAAAAAGGGGGTCAATAGGAATATCAATGAAACACTGAGAAAATCAAGATCATTGCCTGCATCTTACCAGGGTAAGGCAAGACCGGCCTCAGGGTCTACCTGTTTGCAAAGGTTTGGTTTCATTCGTCGGACGGCTGAGGCTTCAGCGAAACGAAGCAAGCTTGCGTTGTTTTGTCTTTTGATAATGTTGAATGCGTCACGTGGGTTTTCGCACAAGGTACAGTCGAGCAGATGCTGTGCGATTGGAGCTGGCAAGGAGTTTAGGTCCACTATTTTACAGGTTCCGTGGAACATATTCCATGATGCTAGTTGATAGCCTTCTCTCGGTTCGGCCAATGTACATGCTACCGCAAGTACAGGTGAATTGGTAAACACATCAGGCGGTAACCTGAGAGTGTGGCCTATCCAAGTTGGCTTCATGGGACAGCTTCTTGGTTTGATGTAACAACACGAGCTCAGCTGTGTAGTAGCACCTTTTTATGGCTTGACGTAATCGGTAGCACAATCTTCTGTCGTTCTTTTCCCCTTTGTATGGTAGCGTGATGACCTTTTTCTTTGGGACATCCATTCGTATTTCTTTCTTAGCAACCTCATTCCCGTACCTGGCGATAAATTTATTGTGATAGCAGTTATTGCGTAGGTTAGATTCGATGTATCGTAATTCAGCCTCGATTGACTCTCCAGAGCATATTCGGTGTGCTCTGACAAAACAAGTTCGAACTAGGGATCGTTTATTGTTCGTTGGGCAGTAACTGTTGAAATGTAGATATTGTCCGGTCCAGCTCGGTTTCCGGTAAATCGATCTTATGAGTGAACCATCTGCTCTTCTTTTAAGTGAAACGTCAAGAAAATGAAATGAATCCTCTGATTCACTTTCCACAGTGAATTTGATGTTAGGATGACATTTGTTTAACGTTTCCAAAATTACTTTCGCTTGTTGGACAGTGTCAACAACAACAAAAGTATTGTCGATATACCTTGTGTAAAACGGTGTTACTCTAATGATTTCGCGTAATAAGTTATTCTCCAGATGATCCATAATGGTGTCAGCTGGAAACGGTCCGAGAGGGCTACCCATCGCAACCCCTTCAATTTGACGATACATATCCCCATTAAAACAAAATTGGACGTCTTTCGTAGTGGTCGATCTTTCCGCGTACATTGTTGGTTACATCACTGTAGAGCTTGATACACGTGAGGCTTTCCACAGTTTCACTCAACCCCGAAGACTGGGATACCAACCCAATGTCAAAGACTGGGTCTGCAACGATGCAGTAATCTAGGTGCTGCCTCATAGCTCCGAAACATGACCACTTCGCACTGATAGGATCGTGAGTGAATGGTCTTCTTCGCTCACTGGTGCGTGTGATGTATTGTTTGAATTTGATGGGAGCACCTAGTGAACAGTACCGAAGCCCACCTGCTGATGCTCAGAAAGAAGTCTCTCGTACCACGCTGGGGCGTATGCCAAACTTGAACCGATTACTTTTGCCAGGTCGAATCCTCCGTATGCTTGTTGGCCGTTTGCTTCGACGCTCGTTTTTCATCTTCGCTGCACTTAATTAGATGGTGCAGTGGTGTAGTCATTGGGGCTCCTGCGTTCAGAAGTAGTTACTTATTTACTTTTTCCCCACTTTATTCTGTTCGTGTACTGTCCCATTTTTCTCACCACTGTAAATATGTGAGTCGTGATCCCCACGCTTTTCGCCACATTACCCTCGAGCTCATTGTTCTCATCAGCGATTCAGGATTTCTATGATCCTCCAAGGACCATGGTTTGCAAAAACTATCGTCTTTATACATCACAACTGTTCCTTTGCAACCACTTTGGCCTATGTTTTTGCCTCTTTATCCCAAAAATGTTTTCCCTCAGAGCTTAACCCTTGTCTTTGTACGTCACTCACCAATTCGGCTATTCTCTCCAACTGATAATAATAATTTGACAGAGGAGTAGTAGGGGGAATTGAATGATATAGGTAGAAATTTGTCACTCAGACAGCCATCACACGCCCGGAAAAGCCCTTTACTCGTGTTTCATCCTTTCGGGAATCGTAGCAGCGCGCATTCCATCGGACCCTGGTAGGGCTCGAACCCGCAGCTCGACTGTTGCCAGTCCGTGGTTGAGACCATTGAGCTATGGGGGACGACAACGACCATGGTGAGTAAGTTACTAGATGTGATATAGCGCCGCTCACTATCCGCTGCCTTACACGTTACTGTCCTGCCGAGGACAGGGAAGTTCGTCACTTAGTGAGGGGGTTACCCTGTCCTCTGCACTGTAGTAACGTGCAAGTCAGTGGATAATGAGCGGCGCTCTACCGCATTTAGTAATTTATTCACGATGGTCCTTGCCGTCCCCGGTAGCTCAGTGGTCTCAACCACGGACTGGCAACAGTCGAGTTGCGGATTCGAGCCCTACCAGGGTTCGATGGAATGCGCACTGCTGACGATTCCCGAAAGGATGAAACACACACACAGTGCTTTTCCGGGCGTGTGATGACTGAATGTAACTGGATGAGACGAATTTCTACCAATAATAATTTTAGCGATATTGATGCAGTATACTACCACTGCAACGCTTTTTGCGATCTCAGGAAATGGTGATCTTTCTTTACACTGTTATAACTCGATACCAGGAAATGCTTTCAACATATTTCGCTATTCTGAACATTATGTTCTACTGGCGTTCATCACAATGGCATTTCACTGTAATATTCCGCCGAAAGATGTTCTACACCATCTGATTATTTGTTTCATCCGTTCAGTGCGTACGAGGCTGTCACACTGAGTGACTGTTCGTTGTAACTAGACTCTACTTACTTCCACTTACCCCTCCCGTATCATTGTGTTCCACCCAATCCATCGTCATTTCTATATCCCGTCTGACGCTTGATCCTCTCTAACAGAGTGGACGAAGACAGTGGATTGCATTCCGATTTGCTCGCTTTGAAGAGTGACCCGAAATTCGAGGATCATATAGGAATGCAGTTTTTATTCAAAGTAAGTCGGTTACTATTTTGCGCTACGTGTTGTCATCGATTGCGCGCGGATACCGTTGTACTTACCATGGAGAAAACAGCTGCCCACTTCAGTAACGTCAACCCTAAGGTTGGCATCATCATATAACAGTCATTTTTGTGGTAGTTTTAACGATATCTACTTAACTATCAAGGGTTCAGCTCACCCACTATGTATAATCAACGGTTTTCGTCGGCAGCTTTACCTCTTACTATGATTGGAATCCACGTGACCCTAATGCTTACCGACTGAATGTTGCTCCGCATCCCCTGTTTCCCTCTCTCTGCATAAATATTATATATATATATATATATATATATATATATATATATATAATGGCATATGCTGCTGGCTACTTGGCGTTAGCCTCTGGCAGTCATGGGTTCGATCCCCAGTAGGAGACCGATGAATGCGCACCACTGACGAGCCCCAATAGGGCGAAATGCGCGTCTGGTGCTTTTCCGTATTGGTAGCTTACCTATGCGGCCTGGAATCTAATTGCGATGAACCAACTTGAATCATATATATATAATGGTTGGCGGCATCCGGTTTCGGATTTGCCTGTCACTGTTGTCGGCCACAGGACGCCTGCGCCTACAGGGGGACCATAGGTGGCTTGCGCTGCACCACCCACAGCTCCATCCACACAAACCGTATTTAGTGTAAACCCGAAGGAATAAGACTGGGAGACATGTGGATGGGAACCACGTTTCATCCACAGAGCCGGCCGCAAAAACTGCTCCCAAGAGGATCTTCGCATATGTGAAGCGGCGCCTAAGGCCTATAGCTAATATCCCAGTGTTAGAAGGCTCGGAAGGACAGCCTCTAACTTTGAGTACAGATCGTGCGTCAGCATTGGCAACGCACTTCGCCTCCGTATTCGCAAGTGACCAGGTGTCTGTAATGAGTTCGACGAGCACCGCTCCAGCCGAACTTAACAGCCTGGACTGCAATATTGAGGATGTACGCAAGATTCTAGCAAATCTTGACGGGACGAAACCTGCTGGGCCAGATGGTATACACCCACTAATCCTCAAGTCATTATCGACCATAATTGCACCTTCTGTAACTGACTGTTTAACAGGTCACTATCCACTGGTCTACTACCGGACGACTGGAAATGCTCAGTCGTAAAGCCTATCCCGAAAGGTGGTAACCCAAGCAAAGTGGATAACTACCGGCCGATCTGCCTGACGGCAGTTTTGGCAAAGACGACTCGGAGGTGAAAACTGTTAACCTCCGACAGCATGGTTTCCTGAAATGTCGTTCGTGGATCACCAACCTACTGTTGACGAGGCACGAATGGTTACAAGCGCTGAACAAAGGCCAATCGGTTGACGCCATTTACATTGACTTCAGTAAGGCTTTTGACAAGGTTAACCATGGGTCTGCAGAGGTTAACCTTCCGATCAACCCTGCCAAGTCGCAATTCATGAGGTTGGGTAGTATGATCACGGCCGAACGTACACAGTGGCTGGTCAACCGTTGCATCCCGCTCCTTTCGTGCGCGACCTCGGTGTACTCTCACGCTGCGACCTAAAGTCCATTGACAACACGAATAGGCTGTACCAAAACAGCCTTCGTATGCTTTGGGCTCTCAGGCGCAGCTTTAGCACTTGGTCCGAAGAGATTGCCACTCGCCTCTTCGTCTCGATAATACGACCAATGCTGGAGTACGGCACTCCCGCATACTGTCCCATCACCCGGGGCGAAGTAGAAAAGCTTGAGCGGGTGCACTCCCAACTTACGAGGTATGCCATACGAAGACCGATGTAAGAAACTAGGGTTATACACCCTATCTTATCGGTCGCTGAGGGTTGACCTCATCATGACACACCGGATATTACATCTGGGTGATTACCCCATGTTGAGACAACTACTTCATCTACGCACACAAGCTACACGCGAGCACACCGGTATAAACTTATCGTCCCGGATTTGAAGCGGGTCGCCCATCAACTCTGTTTCGAACGCAGAGTGGTGAATGTCTGGAACGATCTGCCTCAGCATATAGTAGAAGCGAACACCGTGTCTAAATTCAAGATGCTACTAGACCAACAATTTGCAGAGGCAAAGTACAGAGAGCGTAAAATAAAAAGTTCATGTCCGAAAACGACGAATGATGCAGCTACACAGAGCAACCTCTACTCGCTGCTTCGCACCAGTTCTTCATAGGCAAAAACTAACACGCTGTATTTGAGAATCAAGCGCACACAAGCCGGTGGCTGGACCGTAGCCCGCTCCACACTGACTGCATGGAACCACTCTTCGAGCCTAGCACAGCCACAAGGACCGTGCACCCCGTTCCCTCCAGCAACGACCAACTGTCTCCTGGAGCCAGTATGGACGAGGTAGTGGGTAATAGACAGGTAGGCACTTTGTCAGCATGCACATCAAGCGCAGCCACACCGTGGATGTCAAACAATAGCCAGTCACTTGAAATGACATCAAATAAAATATATATGTTAAAGAATACGGCTATGCAAACATAACTCTTCCCTAAATTAGCACATGAATTAAGTTGTTTAGCAACGAATACGCGATATGCACACAATGGCCAGAAGTTACTCGAAAAATGCTACAACGCCATCAAGTTACCGAAGATAACCACAGTTAGCGTAATCAACGTGAAGACAGAGGTTGTGATATGTCAACATTTCGATTGTTCTCTTCAGTCGCAAACACAATACGAGCAGAAACACACAAGGGATTATATACATGAAAATATAAGCACCGCCAACCAAAAGGTCACATTCAAGACTATGGCAGTCGAATTGATTGCCTCAAGAGTTTCGGTGCACATAACACAAGTTGATAGGCCTCAATTAACAACACCTCACTAATTGTCAGCATTGTCGACTTTTTGCTACGTACTAACACTTTGAACGCTGTTTCGGGGTTCACGTGATGACGGGTTGTCATGAGGTGCTTAGTGATAGACGATGCCGGGCTCCTATTGATTCTCCGACTCGTCCCATGTTGTTGCGTAATCACTTGTCCAAACCACTTTGGCAAATGTTCAGGTACCCTCTGAGCTAACTGACAGTTTGTTCTGCCTACGTAAATGTCACCGCAACTGCAGGTGAACTGATAAACAACGTGAGAGGCCGAACTACCCGACGAGATGCTCTTACAGTTATGAAGAACAAGTGTTCGCGTGGTATGCCTGAGTCGCAACTGGGCTGTCGTGTAGGTTCGTGTTAGGGCGGACCGGAGCTTGCGTCCGATATCATTTGCCACTTGATCCCCCTTGAACGGCAAGAACAAATAAACACCCTTTTTCTCAGTCGTCAACACCGTTGTTTTCACGCTGGGAGGTCTGCTGTGCACCTGAATAAACTTCTAAGGATATCCAGTCGAAATTAAGGTCTTGCGTAGAAATTCTTCTTCGGTTTGTAACGTTTCAGGGCTGCAAATACGTCTAGTCCGGTAGAAGAGATTTCTCCCTAACCCGCGTCCGTACACGATCGGGGCGATGCTTGAAAAATGAAGGTACTGTCCAGTCCAAATCGATTTGCGGTGAACAGTGAGCTGCAAGGTACTTTCAGTCCGTCTCCTAATGAGTATATCCAAAAACGCCAGACAGTTGTGTTGTTCCACCTCATGGAATGCCGACAGATTAGGGTGAATCGAATTTAGGATGGTCAGCAACCGGTTAAAATGTTTTCCGCTGGTGAAGACCAAAATGTCATCCACATATCGTCTGTACAATTTCGCTTAACCAGTGCTGGCAGCAACTTGCCTTTCTAGCAGGCCGAGGAAGATGTCGGCTAAAACTGATCCCAGAGAGCTGCCCATAGCGACTCCATTGGCCTGTTTGTACGCGGTCCCCTCAAATTCGAACTGTATGTTCTCGGTGCACAACAGAATCATATCCTTTAAATACTCCACTGGCAGGCCAACAGACATATTCTGACTTAGGATAAAATCACATAAATTATCAACCGTCTCACGTAAAGACACATTTGTGAATAAGGAGTCCACATCTATTGAGTACATAAGCTCTGCACTCAGTGATGATTGTTCCAGCGTCTCAGCCAGTTCAAAGGAGTCCTTCAGGCAATACGTAGCGAGGAGTTTACGCACCGGATCTAATAGTTCGGCCAGCCACCACGCGACATTGTGATAAGGTGAATTGTTCATGCACATAATCGAACGTAGCCGAAATCCTGCTTTGTGTAACTTGGGAGGGCCCCTCATTCTAGGTGTCTGTGTCCCGGTCGGTTTTAAGTGCATGTACTGCGACTCGCTGATGTAACCATGTAGCAGGAGGATCTGGAGCTGGTGGTGCTTATTTTTTCCATGTATATAATCCCTTGTGTGTTTCTGCTCGTATTGTGTTTGCGACTAAAGATAACCATCGAAATGTTGACATACCGCAACCTCTATCTTCTCTCTGCCTTAACGAAATGGCTGAAGGGGACCCACTGTTTTACTTAATTGTAAACAACGTGGCCGGTTAATAAAAAATTATTCGGGTAGGCAGAACAAAACAAATGAAATGAAATGAAGAAATATATCCGGCTTAAAAAGACCTAGTTTAAGTGTAATTTTGTTTAGCCCAACTGCGGTGAAGAAGCGTCATGAATGCAACATCAGCCTCAGCATGGGGCATATATATATATATATATATATATATATATATATATATATATATATATATATATATATATATATGGACTGTCCGTTCTCGTTCTCTATCACTGGTTGGTTACTTATCGGCCTCAGGCGCCGCTTTAGGTACGCAAAGATTCTGTTTGTGGCAGGTTTTGCTGCTTTTTCAAGCTGCTCTTCGAATCGCCTGCGCTTGCTGGTTTTCACACGGTTGCAGATATTTCGTTGCAGAGACAAGGAATTTGTCCCATAGTCTGCATTGCTGCAGAGCTAGCTTATCATACTATTTGTCGAACCAATGTGGTTTGACCGGTCCGATTTTTCGACATATGGGAGGAACAAATTAGTTACACAATGAATTTATTCCA